TTTTTTGATATTTTTGCTTTTTTTTTTTTGATATTTTTACCTTTTTTTTTTTTTTTTTTTTTTTTTTTTTGTTTTTTTTTTTTTTTTTTTTGTTTGTTTTGTTTTTTTGTTTCAAGGGACTATTTAAATACAAATTACATTTGATAATTATATTTAAAACAGTAATTCAATAATATATTCTTCACTTTATTTGTTGAATTACGGCGATAGGGATAACCTATAACAATTCATATTGACGAAGGTGCATCCTTTGAATTATGTCCCTACAATCATTAAAAACTCGCTTTATGTTTTCTGTGTCAACGGCGCATGTAAAATGTGGGTAACAATAGTGTTTACCGTCTCCACTTGCTGTCGATATACGCTGTGGAATTATTTGAAAATAATTAATAGTCTATCACTTTTATATAATTTTCGGTCACTTACCAGAAACTCGTCACGTATAAAATATTTTGCTCTTATTACTTCTGGGTCATCGTTAGATTCCATTATTGCGTCACCTAGTTTATAGAAATTGCGATATAGTTAGCTTCAATGGCAAAACGAATACAAATTCAGTTTTAATTGATTGACTTTGATATTGACAGATATTTGCCTATATAGGGGGTAACAGTGGGGAATAGATCAAAGCGTTTCCAATTTGATTTCTGTTCATTATCATATTATAAAAAAAAAAATGTATTATGAAATTCATTTTTCAGTTAATTATTACGAAATGGTCTTTGGTTTCGATATTCCTTTATTTTGCTTTTTAATATTCTAATTAAATTTATTTATCCACTTACTTGGCGTTTGATATTTGTTAAACTCGGAAAAATATTCCGACAATTTACTTTTTCCAGCCTTAATTTTCTCTGCTAACAAATCTTGCTTATTTAGAAAAAGTATAATAGAAATTGTGCGTAGCCATCTATGAAAAAGGAACATTGATTAAAACAATGCAATTTCTTTATAAATTCCATTTAATACCTGTTATTCCAAATACTCTTAAATAAGTCTAAGGATTCACGAAGCCGATTTTGAGTGGGATCCTCACGCAAAACCATGTTATAACTTGAGCATGCCGTTACAAAGATTATAGCAGTTACATCATTGAAACATTGAATCCACTTCCGACGCTCGTCGCGCTGTCCTCCCACATCGAACATACTATTTGACGGCAGGGATTTGCAAAGTTATATTAATTAATATATATAACCGCGCGTATTCAATTGCAACTCACTGGAAATTAACTTTGTCCACCTGAAATCTTGTTTCAAATATTCCAGAAGTCAAAACACGGCACCGAAGAATATCCTGCTCATTGGGGGTATAATTTGGATTCTTAATTGTGCTAACTCGGTCCAAAAAGCTAAATAACAATAAAGAAATGAGAGAAAATCAAATGAATACTTATTGTAATTACGACAGAATTAATTTATCATTAGAATAAAATATATATTACAAATGGCATTACTTCATGATTAAATCTAATCTTACAGATATCTCATATCAAAATATGAATACAAATATTATAGCCAGTATAAGGGAAGTACTTATACCATGATCTAATATAAATCAGTCAAGAAACAGAGACCACTGTTTTACAAGGAACTTTTCTCACATATCTATTTTCCCTTTTTTTAATTAAACTCATTTTTCGACTCGCTTAAAAACTAAAAGCATTATGTGTATCTTCAAGACGAAATTATTGCAGCGGATTTGCGTTTCAGATAATTAGCGAGTATTGCATAAGCGATTATACCCAATCACAGCAGAGTTATTTTGATGAAAAGCGTACACGTTTCTAGCTCACTCATTCCAAAGAAGCGTATACAAAAAAACTAATTATTGTCTACGATCCATTTACCACATAATCCACATTAATTTGGCTTTAACTTATTGTGCTAAATAAAAGAGTAATATATTTAAGTTAAAGTTATTCAAACAACAGTTTCGGTGCACATCACATCAATTAAAACAGAAATGGTAATAATTGCACAGTTAAACAATATCGCCTAAGCTTTACCACCAGATCGACTTTTACTTACTATTTTGCGCAGTCAATTAATTGATATTCATTTGACCTCTCATAGGTTTGAAGGACCCCTTTGTCTTTCCATAGTTCTTCTGTGTGTTCATAAAATTCTGGAGGATAGTTGAAGTCAGGACCTGGAATAGAGATTATTATTGTAATAAACTAGAGTATACATATATAT